ATGAAACGTTTCATTAGAGAAGAACCCGTCCAGAAGACCTATACAATTTTTTTCTTTTTTATTTTTTTACCTGGATTACTGAGATGCATCAGGACACTTGAAGATAATTCATCAGCTGAATTATTAACCTGCACATATTCTTTAACATAATACAACATAATAAACTGTCATTAAAACACCTAAACGCATGCTTTATTCCTTGCCTTAAAGAGCATTCTGTCAAAACTAAAAATATGTTGTGTCAGTATATTTTGTACACTGACCTGCGCGTCAATATTATTGACCTGTTGTATCTTATAACAGGTAAACACGTCACTGTTGATACATTAAATAGGTCATAAATAGGTAGTGACTATGCCTCAGCATTTTACAGGCTGACTTCTTATCTACCATATGTTAGTGGAAATATTTATTTTGTGTGTGTGTGTGTGTGGGAGGAGGGGTTATTAAATTTGTAAATTTTGCGCAGCCCTGCTGCTGATGTGTGCTAATTGTCTTGTGACTTCAGGTCTGATGACTCGACCTACTCAGATGTGATCATTAAATCATGTAGGCAGCGGTTCCTCCAAACTGTCTGTGTTGCAATATTTATTTTATTAGAATCTATTCAAAACGTGTATTTATTGATCTGAGTTAGAGTAATCAGACTGTTGTCTTCKTTCAATGTGATATGCATAAAAAATGTTGTTCTTTATCAGAAAGTGTAGTCTCAGGACAGCATACCTCAAATTTAGCATTTTWTGAAATATGGTTTCAGCACCTGTACAGTGTTAGCTTCACTGGTCTGTTTTTTTGGCTCTGAGCTGATCCTTTCTCCCCACCCACATATTAAAATACATGCTTTTGTAAGCATGTATTGTCTTTTTAACATTATCACAAAAGCTATTATTTCTACATCGTTTAGCAGTTGTGTTTTACTTGAAAAAGTGTACTATGAAAATTTGCTGTAGATTATTTTCACTGTCTTTTCTTTTAAATGCAATTCAAAAAGTTTWAAATCCTCCTTGTCTTGATGTGAAGCCGATACGTTTGCTCAGTTTGTCAGCTGACAACTGATTTCTTCAGTAGGTGGGGACTGAAACTGAAGGAGAGAATGTGCTTAATAGTTGACTGAAACGCAAATAAAAGTGTAGATTTCACCTCGTGAATGGTGAACGGATGAAAATTAGCGTTTACAGCAAGAAACCAGAGTTTTAACAAGATCCTACAGTTTCAGACAACAGAGGTTCAAAGTTTATTTTGCATCCAGTTCTGCACGTTTTCCTCTGGATTTGCACTTATTTTGTTTTGAGATTCCTTTCTCCTCGGACAAGTCAGGCAGGAAAAACACGGACCAGTCATGAATGGGACGTTTGTGTCCACCACCTCAGAGCTGTTGWACAGCACTGAACAGAACTAATTGGCTAATTTTCTTTTATTTAGCGTCTGCGGAACACCCACCAAGTTTCCGACCGGTACTGAAACTACCTTCTTCCTTTATTTTTCCTCAGATGTGTTGTGCTGAACATGCTGTGATCAAACCGTTGTAAGATGGATCCCGAGGAGGTCGAGCTGCATAATGATTACCGTTACCGTAACTATGCGGCGGTCATCGAGAAAGCACTGCGAAACTTTGAGTCCTCCAGTGAATGGGCTGATCTCATCTCCTCCTTGGGCAAGCTCAATAAGGTAAGAGGAAGAAGATGGTGTCAATGACTATATTTGCTTATGATTAAGTAGTTTTTTGGAGCCTTTGTTTCCTCTTTGATTGGTTYTAACAGAAGAGTTTCTCTGTTCTTGGCAGTTCTGTGTGGTTTTGTTTTTTAGTCAGAGTTCCTCTTTTGGTTTCAYGGCTGTTCCTGCCCTGTTACCATTTACTAAAAGCAATAAAAATGACACTTTTTTTCTTAATTTGCACACCAGGTRTTGACTTTGGAGTCTCTGTATGTTCATGCACAGAAATGCAATTTTTTTTCTATTTCAATTCAAAAAATTTATTAATTTCATTTCATTAATAAAATAACTATATACAATAAAAAACCAAGAAATACACAAGTAAAAAAAAATGAAAGGTAGCAGAAGAAGAATAAATCTTATGTCTGCCCCTTTTATCCCCAGAATAAATTCAAATGAAACATAATTTACAAAACAATACTAAATAAAAACATCAACTCAAACAACAGTTCACAGTTCAACATTTTACTTTTCATATACCTTCAAAAATCTAGCTTTTATTTGTCTCTTAAATATATACATAGATCTGGCATTTTTAAGATCCTCCTCCAGACCATTCCACAATCCTATACCCTGGATTAAAGTACATCTTTCTTTCAAGCAAGTACGAAAATATGGCTTCACAAACATTTCCATCCCCTTAAGATAATAACAACTGTCTCTCTTTAACAAAGTTTACCTGAACGTAAGAAATTGGTCCTGAAAGAAGAGTGAAACTGGCAAAATTCTGTTTTTTTATATATATGTGTGTGTTTGTGTGTTTTATTGGATGCCTCCACAGAATGGGACACACTTTATGAACTAGTTCTACCTCCGTTYTGTTTTTATTTTTTTGTTTGCCTCTGTGTTTCAGGCTCTGCAGAGCAACCTTCGCTATTCACTCTTACCCAAGAGGCTGATCATAGGGAAGCGTTTGGCTCAGTGCCTGCACCCAGCGCTGCCCAGCGGAGTGCACCTCAAGGCTCTGGAGACGTACGAGGTCATCTTCAAAATCATCGGAACAAAATGGCTGGCCAAGGATCTGTTCATTTACAGGTAGAGGAAGAGGACCAAATCATTTACCGTAGCAAGAGGAGTGACTTTATTTCAACTAGTTTGAGAATACTTTGTTTGTCCTTTTTTTTTCCAGCTCAGGACTGTTTCCACTGCTGGGCCATGCAGCCATGGCAGTAAAGCCTGTGCTGCTGACTCTGTATGAGCGTTACTATCTCCCGCTGCAGAGGGCTTTGCTGCCCAGTCTGCAGGCCTTCATAACTGGACTCTTACCAGGTCTGGAGGAAGGTTTGGAGGTCTATGACAGGTACACAACACATTAACTTGTTTGTTTTTTGTCATCAAACTCATCTTAAACTATTTAAAGTTGCTTATGTCACAAATAATTGTATGCCTCCTCAGTAAGTATAAGAACAGGGATGGTTATAGTCTGTGTTTATTGTTGGACGTGTTTTTTTGAGCTTCTGCTGATGCCTCCACTTTATTCTCTGCCTCTGTCCAGGACTGATGCTCTGCTGGTCAAGTTGTCTCTGTTAGTGGGTCAGCAGGTGTTCTACGGAGCCCTGTGGGGCAGCATGTTGGTCACTCCCATGGTGCGGCTGCCTGCCTCTGTTTTTATCGTAACACACTTTGACCGTATGGCACCACTGAGTCAACAAACGCACATGTTGGGCTACAGCCACTGTGGSGTGGTGAGTTGTCTTCCTGCACACGTGCTTTGTGACCTTATACATCATCTGGTGTAATCGTGTTCAGAATTTTACAGTCATTTTGTTTGTTTTCAGATGAAGTCAGTCTGCCTGTCCCTACAAGATTCAAACGTCTTGGTGCAGAGGAAYATGCTCGAAGTCCAGCTCTACTTTTTCCCCTTTGCCACATGTTTGGTAGGTATCCTCAGATGCACTGCTYCTTGTTATTTCTGGATAGTATCCTTGGATTAATGAACGTCCACAACCTTCTATTATTAAACATCTGTGGGCACAACACTCTGCAAATGCAAAGACAGCAGCAAACCCAATAAATAAGAGGTTTGAAAATGAAAGCTTTCCAATGTCTCTACTTAAAGATCAAAAGTTCAAATCTTCTGAAGTGGGATTCTGTGGGAAAGTTACTT